GCAGTCCCTGGCATTTCCCTGATGGTGCATTCTTGACCAGAAGCTTTGTTGTCTGTCCTGTCCTGGTCCTGTCTACTTTGGAGGGAATATTTGGATAGTTCATGTTAGCTTTCCAGTGAAGATTGGTTCAATTTTAGTTTAAACTTTAATACTAGGAGTGAGAGGAAGACACATAAATAAGACATTTTTATAAAAAAGAAAAACGTAAGTGAGCCCAATTTGGGTTTTGTTCAGTGGCATCTCAGGGGTGCTTACCACCTGCCAGGCAGGTAGTAGGGCCTGGAAGGGCCTGGAGGCCAAAGCCCAGAAGATAACTTTCCCCCCTCAGAGACTCAACAGTAAAAGAAAAAAAAAGACATTACAATTTATGGGGTCATTGGGAACGTCATGACACATTTTTGCATAGAAAAACATAGAAAAGTATGTCATAACTTTCCTAATGACCTAATAATTTTAGGAGGCCAGCAGATGGCTTGGTGGTTAAAAGGCTGAACTTCCACATGGTAGACCATGGTTTGGTGGACTAGCAGTTTGAAAATCATGCTAGACACATGTGAATGAGTCCTCAAAAGTCTGAAGAGGAAAAGGGATTGCCATCCTCCCAGGAATGATTTCTCACTTTCTCTATGTATATTTCTCTTTATCTCTCTCTGGTGAGCACAGACACTCTATGGCAAAAACCTTTAAAAAAAAAAATACAATTCAGTGTGCTAAGTTAGGCCTGTATGGCATACATGTGGTTTGATGTTGAGAAAAGAGAAACAGAGTCTTCCTGGTGACAGGAACAAACAGGGAGACATCTGAGAGAGGAGACAAGCTGAGTGGGGCTTCCACAAAGTTTCTGATATGAGAGTGAACTCTGAGCACCCTGGGTTTATGTGTGTCTCCAACACCTTCTTCTTTCTACTGTAGAACCGTTGCACAAGCTAATCCTGCCCCCTTTGTTTTCCTGGCTACTCCTTTAATATCTTTCAGATGTGTGCTCTTAAGGGAAAACTCTCACCACTCTTTCTAAACTTTGGCTATATGTTTCCTTCATATCATTTATGCCATTTATATTAAAAATAGTTTCTTTAATGTGTTTTCAGCTGTCTTTGCTTCTAAACTAGAACTCCCTGAAGATAGGAGACTGTATCTTGAGTCCTTCACGCAATGCCCGGTGTGGTAGATGCTTGATAAATATTTCCCGAATGAATGAATGAATGAATGAGTCATTAGATTTGCCTGTGAGTGAGACAGCTCTGACTGCAGAGTCGAGAGAAGATTGGAGAAGAAGCCAAGACTAAAGATAAGAGAGCAGAGTTAGGAGGCTTTCCCATCACGCTGGAAAGAAGTAGGAAGATTCTGAGCCATGGTTGTTACGAGGAAAATGAAGAGAGGAGTCAAGAAATAATAAGGAAGGTGGGACCAGCAGATGGCATAATGGTTACTTTGCCAGACTCCCACGTGGTCGACTGCAGTTCGAGTCCCGGACCTGGAGGCTTAATAAACTCACAGCAGGCGTGTGTGCATGCGTGCCCAAGATCCCGAGAGGAGAATGGAGGAGAAGGGATTATAGTGTGACCATTCCCCCGGGGGATGATTTCTCGCTTTCTGTCTCTCTGTCTCTCTCGTGAACACACAGGCCCTATAGTAAAAATCTCTTTAAAAAGAAGAAGGAGAGAGAGAAAGAAGGAAGAAAGAAAGAAAGAATAAGGAAACAGAATCAGAGTGAGCAATGACTCCATAACAGAAAACTAGATGGACAGTGGATGGTTTATTGAAAAAGGGAATCCAAAATAGTAAGAACAAGTTCTGTGGGAGAAGAAAATGAGTTCAGCTTTGGACATGTTGGGCTTGAGGATACCTGTGGGCTATCTGAATAAAATGTCCAATAAATATTTAGATTTATGGGTTTGGAATCCAGAAGAGAGATGTTGGCAAATGATAAAGATTTGTAAGTCATTGGCCTATGGGCTCACTCATCTATTCATCCCACAGATATTCACTTACTAACTGCTATAGCTCAGGCATAGAGCATACAGTGGTGTACAAAACAAACCTTTTTCTAATTTTCATAAATGTCACCATCTAGACTGGGGTGAACTTCATGGAAGTAGATAAAGTAATTTAGGAAACATATATCCAGGGAGAGATGAACACACAGACCCTTGAAGAAGACTGACTTTAAGATTTGGACAAACAAAAAATGACAGCCAAGGGACCAGTCAGTGGCATATTGGTTAAGGCAGCTGGATCACACATGGTTGACTGCCTGGTTCAAGTCCTGGACCCAGGAACTTGAGAAACATGTGAGGTGTGTGTGCATGCATGCACAAAATCCCAAAAAGTAGGAGAAATAGAGAAGGGATTGCAATGTGACCATGCCCTGTGAAGGGTGCTTTCTTACTTTCCTTCTCTCTCTGTCTCTATTTCTGTCTCTTTTCAGTGAACACAGGCACTATAGCAATTTTTTTTTTAAAGAAAAGGTTAAAAAGAAAGAAAAAGGACAACAGGAGAGGTTGGTAATTCAACTAGATGACTGTAAACCTCCTCATGCATCACAAGTCCTTACAGCTAACTAATTTTTAAAATATTGCTTGATTTTTTGTTTTTTGGGTTTTTTGATGCAAGATTAAAGTATATGTATATACATGCACTCTGTACAAAAATGCAAGTTAGTTTGTCCCTAAAATAGGGAATTTCAAGATTAGAATTGAAACAAGTATCGGCCCGCCAGTCAAGTGACAATGATAGAAAAGCAAGAGCTGGAGATCAACCCAGATTTTCCTATTCAGCTATGAATTTCCTTGTTATTGTTCTATGTGTTTTAAGTCTGCCTTCATGTGCATTGTGGTTGGATTTCCTTTGTTATGGTCTGTGGGATAAATGTGATGTTAATGGTGCCCCAATCAGAAAGAGGTGTTACCGTCTGTTTTGCCAAGATCATGTTAGAGACTTTTTATTTATTAATTTAATTTTTTTATGTCTTAGTTCTCTTCATCCCAGGATAGCACCTGAGGCATTTACCACGTAAAAGCCAGTTAAATAGCAGGGTGTGGGTTGTTTTGAGAGATGAGATTTCTTAAGCACTGGTAAAGGCAAAAAGTATCTATTTTATTTTTGGATGAGATTATTTCACATCTTTAAAATCAAAACTTTCATCTAAAACAAGAGGCAGAGCATTGATGGGATGGGGAGGTGTGGTGTTATCTGTTGATATTTTGATCAACTGGACTGGGGAGAAATGTTCGCATATTGAAATGTTCACTTTGTAAGCTACACAATGTGATTGAATGTATATAAATTGATTAATTAATTAATTTTAAAAAATAAAATAAAACTTGAAAATCAGCAGTTAGCGTAATGGCTATGTCGCTGGACTCCCACGTAGTCGACCGCAGTTTGCGTCCCGGACCCAGTGTCTTAAAACTCATGCCGGGCGCGTGTGCGTGCATGCCCAAGATCCCTAGAGGAGAATGGAGGAGAAGGGATTGCGGTGTGACCATCCCCCCGGGGGGTGATTTCTTGCTTTCTGTCTCTATGTCTCTCTCTGTCTGTCTGGCGAGCGCACGCGCCCTATAGCAAAAAACCTCTAAAAAAAATTAAAAAATTAAAAAAAAAAAAACTCAAAGGTTGTATATGCGGTATAAAAGTTAGTTGACAATTTTCTTTTAAAATCTCAGTATAATTTTCCCTTATGCAAAAATCAAATGTAATGAGTAGAAGAAGAATCTGTATGTCTACTTATAACCCTCCAAAACATGGTGATTTTTTACAATTGTTTATATGCATGACATTTCATAAATTTATTGGTATGTATGTTGTACCCTAGGTAAACTTGCTTTCCTTTAGTTGTGTATAAAATCTAGCTTTTATCAACAACATAAATTTTATATGTAATTTTATCTTCAGATTGGCCTATTATCTTGTTCCATATCTTAAAGATGCATTTTTTTAAAATTTCAAAAACAGTTATTTCAAAACTGTTCAGTTAACAGGTTCTCCTCTGACCCCAGTTTTTTTTTTTTTTTTTTTTTTGAGAGGTTTTTGCTATAGGGTGCGTGCACTCGCCAGACAGACAGAGACAGAGAGACAGAAAGCGAGAAATCACCCCCCAGGGGGATGGCCATGCCGCAATCCCTTCTCCTCCATTTTCCTCTCAGGATCTTGGGCACAGACCCACACACACGTGCCCGGCATGAGTTTAAGCCACCAGGTCTGACTTGAACCATGGTTGACTACATGGGAGTCCAGTGACATAGCCATTATGCCAATTGCTGGTCCTGCATGAATGAATAATTCTTTATAAAGAATTTTTAGAAAAAGGAAATTCATCCTATCTAGCAAAAATAAAGCAGATGCATAATGGAAAGATTAACCAATTTTGAACCATTGGTTTATTATCCTTTCTCAAAAAAAATTTAAATAACACAAAAACTCTTGTTTTTGAAATAATCTAAATTTTTATTTGTGCTCAGAAGAATTTGTTTTCATGTGTCCTGGTTTGGGGCTTATGTTTTCTATTGTAGCTTTAAAAAAATTCACCCTGTGGTGGCTTTAGAAATGAAGGGAACATCTTTCAATCTTGATTTAAGTGAATAGATAACTAATCCTGATCAGATGTTTCTTTATAGAGTAATGTTTAAAAACTTTCACGGAACTTTAGCTGTCCTGGCTGATTCTTAGGTATGCTGTTTTCATCCAGTTGTTAAGGTCTCAGAGGTCATGGTAACCATTTATTTTAAAGTGTCTTTTGTTTCAAATTTCCTGTTAAATTTTTTTTAACCATTTCAAAAATCACCCGGTTGTTGTCATAACTTTTCACAGCCTCTAAATTCAAACGAAAAAACTATCTCCATAATGAAATGACTGTGTCCTCCCACATAAACTCGAACTAGAGCAGAGTATGAGATTAGACATCTACATTTTGTAATCATAATGAAACTAATATTTAGAGCTCTGTTGTCAATTGTCTTCTATTTATGACACTTTGTTTTCTTTTGTTTTTGTTTCTCCAGGACATTTGGGCTTCCAGGACAGTTTTGTCACATCAGGTGTTTTTAGTGTGACTGAGCTAGTCAGAGTGTCACAGAGTAAGTATAATTTTGCTTTGATTTGGTACAGATTTGCCTTGGGTTTGTGCTTACTTTCTCCCAGGCCTCCTAGAGACATAAAAAGCTTTCAAAATCCTCTTTTCATTCACTCGTTGGAAGAATTTTACCATGGTGTTTGTTTGCCAGCCAAGAATTTAAATCAGGAAAAATTAAATATTATTTTACTGTGAGATTTAAGGGAAGGATCAAAATCCTGAGTGTCTCATTTAATCCCTAGTTTATAGTCTAAATTGGGTGAAAAGAATTTCAAGATTTCCCTGATTTTAAAGAAACTGCGTTTTAAGGGAATTTGGTTTTGACCTTTAAACAATGCTAATGTCCTCAGTATGAGTGACACAGTACAGCTTCATCATTACTGACTTGTCAATAATCATTAACCACAGTGAATGACAAATTCCTGCCACCACCCTGTTCTGTTGATCAAAGGCTCGTTGATTATATTTTTGCTATGATATAATCCAGAGAGTCCAGAAGAAGGTATAGGATATTCTCCTCTCCTTCCTTCTCTCTCTCTCTCTCTTTCTCACATTCTCTCTCACCCTTTCCCACACCCAGAGTTGCCACTCCTTGAGAAAAAAAAATTTTTTTTAATTTAAAAGCATATCTACAATGACTGTTATGTTCTAGGTTCCCATAAGAAGAAGGAAAAATAAATATTAAATATTACATTTTCTTTTTACCTTCCCCCCACACCTACTTCAAAATACCATTTGTAGATACAATTTATATTGTTACATTGGCTTCCTTTGTGGAATGAGGTGGAGTAAAAATAAATATTTTCATTTCAAGTTCATCCCACACACTCACTGTGTTTCAGACTTTTGAGTTTGACCAGAGAAGCCAATCTCATGTCAAGGAGTCCAAGTTAGGCCATTTTGAGCTCCCAAGCCCAGACTCTGTCTGTGCTAATTTCAACCATTCACAGGCTGGGAGGGTGTTAAGAGTCCAGACAGTGGGAAACAACATGGGAACAGAGGGAACTCTGTCGTTTCTGATGAGCATTTATTATCTGCCAAGCACGATGCTAAGCCTTCGTGTACGTTACATGAATTAATCCTTGTAATAAATGTGTCAGAAGAGATATTACCTCTGTTTTTACAGATGAATGAAACTGAAGATCTTTTTAAGTCATTTATCTAAAGCCAAATATGGGTGGATAAATGGTTAAGCTGTGCCTCTGTGATGCTCTAGAATTTGTACTCTCAGATTAGCCCAAGGGATCTTAGAGAAATCTACAACATGAGAGTAGACAGGAAAAAGAGTGGGAAGGTAACTGGGTGTTAGAATTCCAGGTGCTAAGGACTCCCAGGAGGATGCCAAGGTGTTCTATTGTAGGAGAGCTGGAACCCTCAGAAATGAGGCATTAGGAGCAGCAGGCTGTGGCTGGGCATGGAGAAGTTGTTGCTGTATCCTTGAAGTGTGTGTAACGTACTAACCAACTAGGCAGAGACCAGATTGCGTTGTTCAGTTGGAGTGTGTATGCTGCCCTCCTGGAGCACAGCCAACCAATCACTGGCCATAGATGAGCGACAATGCTTGTGCGTAGATAACTAGAGATATCTATCTGTCTGTCTGTCTGACTATCTATCTATCTATCTTTTACTTTGTAAGACTTTGGAAAATGATAAATATCCTACATTTTCTTTTGTAAAGAATTATTTTATTTAATTTTATTTATTATTATTATTATTTTCTAGTTTGATCTGACAGAGAGAGAGAGGGAAAGTGAGAAAGCAAACCACCAGCTTCAGGACTTGAACTGCAGTCAGCCATGTGGGAGTCCAGTGCCTTTAACCACTATGTCCCCTGCTGACCTCCCTACATTTTCTTATAATTTTAATAATTATAGTAATAGAGTATGAATTAAAAAGTATAGCTGTGATAGTAGCATTACAGGGAAGTACATCATTGAGCCTTTACTGGGATTTCAACACAGTCTTAAAGAGTGAAAAGAAGGGACCAGCAGTTAGTGTAATGGCTAAGTCGCTGGACTCCCATGTAGTTGACCATGATTCGAGGCCCAGATCTGGTGGCTTAAACTCACGCTGGGCGTGTGTGTGTGTGTGCGCCCAAGATCCTGAGAGGAGAATGGAGGAGAAGGAATTGTGGCATAGCCATCCCCCTGGGGGTGATTTCTTGCTTTCTGTCTTTCTCTGTCTTTCTGGCGAGCGCACATGCCCTATAGCAAAAAAACCTCTCCAAATAAAGAAAATAAAAAAGTGAAAAGAAAATCTTTTTAACCCTAAGATTGGCGGATTAGACCAATTTACTCCACCCTGCCTGCTGTAATACTTACGTTTAGTGTTCATTGCTCTCAGAGACCCGGGGTTGTATGACAAAGCCCACAGTACTCAGGACCACCTTTAGCATCTCATCCTTTGTCTGCCTCCTGTACTCAATTTTAAGGTCTTAGATCCCAAAATGTATCTGGTCTGAGCCTGATTAGACCTCCATTCAGTCCAAGCATGATTTCCAAGTGAATTCTAAACCTGCTCTACCCAAGAAAGCCAGAGGATATGGCCAGACCGGGGACTGAATTTGCAGAGGGACCTGAATCTGCTTCCTGTCCTCCTTTATGGGTCGCGTAGCCGATGCTTGGCATCATGAACATCCTTTGGCTCTCGAATGCTTGTCGATCTTGCACACTGCTGTGTAATCGCTCTGGGAATCACTCACACATGGCCTCGTGCTGACTGAAACTGCTTGGCAAGAGTGAGGCTGGGCTGTGTCAGCTAAATTATGGCTTCAGGCCAAACCGGTCAACTGTAATTCAGAGACCCCTCTTTCCTGCAGATCTTTAATCTAGGTCTGTCAGGGTATGTTTCACAAGATGGCCTTGGCTGCTGAGTTGAGGATCCTCCGGCTCCAGTTTCCTCACCTACACACCTTCCCAGAAGACTTAACACTCAGGTCACATGACAGAGTTGAAATTCTTAAGCATTCTTTACAGTGTTGTGTTTTCTGCGTGGCCTCGGGTTAGAAGAACGAAATGAAGGGTTCATGTGAGACCTGCAGTGGACACTGTTGCAGCTGAGGGGGGTTGGGGTGCACGCTGTATCGTCAGCATAGAAGGAACTAACTGGCCCATAAGTTGATTAAACACATGATGTTAGCCCTGCTGGGAGGCCGATGTAATGCCATGCACCAGGCATTGTGCTAGGCACTTTATAAACACTGTCTTGGTCAGCCCTCTCAGGCTGGTTTTTACAAGTGAAGGAGACCTTAGTGCTCAGAGAGCTTAAGCAACTTGCTCTTCTGCTTGTCCTCGGCAAGCCGACCACAGACATGGCTGTCCTGACCTCTGCTCTAAAAGCATTACAAAATTAAACAGGATCCAAGGACTCTGTGCTTTTATTGAATAATTAGTTCTTGCTGAGTTGATAACTTTTTAGCTTATGAATTTGTAAATTTAAGAAAGAAAAAAAAGGCAAAATGTTTTTTATGTAACCCAAAGCAAGAGAAGTACTTAATTAAATTTTTTCCTGGATTTATTTTCAGGTATAATTTTGTTTTAATTAATGGCTTTATTTATTTATTTATTTTTTGAGAGGTTTTTGCTATAGGGCGTGTGCACTTGCCAGAAAGACAGAGAGAGAGACAGAAAAGCGAGAAATCACCTCCCCCCCCCCCGGGGGGATGGCCATGCCGCAATCCCTTCTCTTTCGTTCTCCTCTCGGGATCTTTGGCATGTATGCACACGCGCCCGGCCTGAGTTTAAGCCACTGGGTCTTGGACAGGAACCGCAGTCAACTACATGGGAGTCCAGTGACATAGCCATTATGCCAATTGCTGGTCCCATATTTTTTAAAGAAGCTTTTTAGGTTTATAGTTTTAGGCTAACAGAAAACACAGAAGTTTTCTCTCTCTCTCTCTCTCTCTCTTTCTTTCTTTCTTTCCTTCTCTCTTTCTTTCTTTCTTTTTTAATATAAACTTATTTATCATCTTTTTTCCATGAAAGGAGACTGTCACCTCCAGAGTCTTCATGTCACAATGCTTCATTCAGGCTCAACTGGCCAGATCACAGGCACATGCATGCCCCATGTGCCTGGGAGACCTTGGAACACAAACCTAGCACCTCCCCCGTGGCCTTAGCACTGCAGGCATAGTGTTACCACTGGTGGCTCGAGCATGGAAGTTTCTTGTAACCCTTCCCCTCTCTCCTCAACTGTTTCTCCTGTTATTACTATCTTTTGATATATTGGTTATAATTGATGAGCCCATATTGACAGATTGTTATTTTTTTCTGAATTGTTTTATTTAACTTTGTTTATTTTTAAAAATTTGACCAGAGAGGGACAGAGTGAGAGAGAGAAAGTGAGATGGCAAGCTGCCAGGTCCAGGACTCGAACCATGGTCAGCCATGTGGGAGTCCAGTACCCTTAACCACCATGCCACCTGCTGCCCACCCCCATTTTTTTGTGTAAGGATGTATTTATTAATTTAATTTTATTCGTTGTTATTATTATTTGAGAGGTTTTTGCCTTAGGGTGTGTGCACTTGCTGGAGGGAGAGAGAGAGACACACACAGTGAGAGGGAAAGTGAGAAATCATCTCCACCCCCACCCCCACCCCGGAATAGCCACACCTCAATCCGTTCTCCTCCATTCTCTTCCTGGGATCTTGTGCATGCCTACATGTGTGCATGGTGTGATTTTTAAAGCACCAGGCCCAGATCTCAAGCCATGGTCAGCCATATGGGAGTCTGGTGATATAACCACTACACCATCTGCTGGTCCTCATTATTATTATTTTTTAATTTGACCAAAGAGAGACACAAAGAGAGAAAGGGGAAGTATGAAAGCATGCCACCAGGTCTGGGACTCAAACTACAGTCAGTCATGTGTGAGTCTAGCGCCTTAACCACCATGCTACCTGCTGGTTCCTTGACACATCATTAAGTCCTTAGTCTACATTAGGGCTCACTCTTGGTGTTGCATATTCTCTGGGTGTTGACAAATGTGTAATGACATGTGCTCACT